AGCAAAGGTTGAGTACAGCTGAGATCAACAGCTTAGTCTCTCTTGATTTTCTTAGAAAACCAATGGCAGTAAAATGTATTTAAATTTTCTTCTGATATTTAAATACTCTGTTAATATTATTTTGGGCACTAGTTATTAACTGGATTTGTTGACTTTCTTCTCTTAGTGAAGCACATTTAGAAGACTGGTCCTATTGATTCTCATGTACGGAAAGTTATTTTAAATATCTCAGCACCTCGGCCTTCACAAACCCAGATAACAGTAAATCCTACAAAGCAAGTCCCCCTTTTCATATTTGTGAAAGGAGGGCATTTAAGGGGACATTTGATAAGGCTGCTTAGAGGAAGAGCTGAGATAGTGGACTCTTGAGTCTGACTCCAGACCTTGTGTCTTACTAGTAATATGATCTTGACTAAATTATTTAATCTCTTTGGACTCAGTTACCTCATCTGTAAAATAGAAGTGATAATAGTACCTACCTCTTGGGTTTATAAGTTATGTAAACACACATAAGAGCAGCGTTTGGTATACTGTGTGTACTCAATATCTAGTATCTATATAATAAAGAGCCAGGGTTGTAATGACTGAACGCTTGACCAGACCAGGCGCCCCGACTCAATACTGTCTGGGGCTGTGGATCAGGCCTGGAGAGAGGCCTGCAGAAAGAGAAGCAGGGTCTGATCTGTAGCCTCTGTGGCAGCCATTGATCAGAACTTGCCTCTCTTTCTCTCCCAGTCTGGCCAACAGCCACACATCCATTTCTCTCCAGGCCTCCACTGCGGCTGCTGATCACCCCTGCCTTTCTGATCAGGTCCCATTGATAGGCCCAGAGATGCTGACTGGCATAGAAACTGACCAATCAGAACCAAATTGGCTGGCAGAGGAGGGCAGTTGGGGGCAAGATCAGGCCAGCAGGGGAGGGCAGTTGGGGGCAACCAGGCTGGCAAGGAAGGACAGTTAGGGGTGACCAGGTAGGCAGAGGCTGTTGGGGGGGAGATCAGGCTGGCAGGGGAGGGCAGTTTGGGGTGATCAGCCAGGCAGGCAGAGGGGTTAGGGGTAATCAGGCAGGCAGGCAGGCAGGTGAGTGGTTCGGAGCCAGTGGTCCCAGATTGTGAGAGGGGTGTCCAACCAGTGGTCAGACATCCCCTGAGGAGTCCCCGATTAGAGTGGGTGCAGGCTGGGCTAAGGGAACCCCCCACCTCTGTGCACAAATTTCGTGCACTGGGCCTCTAGTTATTAAACAATTCTGTTAAGGACAATGTTTTCTTCCTCCTAAACTCAACATCACTACTGATTTAAAAACCTTGGAAATAATTACTTCAGATCAGGTTTTCCATCAGAAACAGGATTTCATATATAAGATATAACATCTGCCGAACCGGTTTGGCTCAGTGGATGAAGCGTCTGCCTGCGGACTGAGGGGTCCCGGGTTCGGTTCCAGTCAAGGGCATGTACCTTGGTTGCGGGCACATCCCCAGTTGGGGGGCATGCAGGAGGCAGCTGATCGATCTCTCTCATCGATGTTTCTAACTCTGTCCCTCTCCCTTCTTCTCTGTAAAAAAAAATCAATAAAATATATTTTTTAAAATATATAACATCTTATATCTTCTATGTTAGCTCTAAGAACTCTTAGGGGATCTGTACAAGTCATTAAAGAGTGGAATCTTACTAAGCAAGGAGCGATAAGGTGCACTGTTAGGGAGAGAATTTCCGGAGATCTAAGGATCAGAGCCAGAGTAGCAGAATGAATATCTGAAGTTTACTGAAATAACAGTTCTATCATCTGCACAGGCAAATCACCATCAAAAATATAAAGAGATAAGAGGGTTTAAAACAATAAAAACAAAAGTGCAAATCCAATATAAATAGAGTGATTTATCCTCATTTCCACAAGAAAGGCCAATATAGCAGTAATATACATGTATGGTAAACAACCTCATAAATATGGAAGACCATACTTCTTTTTCACCAAAGAGACCATTCCGCTCCCTGAAAGATTAGTTATGAATATGCTTAAAATAAAATGAGAGCTTAGCATATCATGAGCATATGACACAAACTTTTAAGTTGGCAGTTAACATTTGTAAAAGCAATGATTTAACAATGGTTTATAAATGACTATCATTTAAAGTAAAAGTTAATACTATATTTGATTATAAATTACACTCAGTCCATATAAGTTGAATGCATACCATACTTTAATAATCAAGACAGTTGGCTGTTTTTCTGAAGTACATTTCAAACAGTTAGCATATAACCCGTATATAACAATATTGCTGTGTTTTTAGTCATCTCATATTTAAGGGTCCAAAATACATTATGTTCACAAAATAACACTGTCCATGAATGTCAACAGTTTTTTATTTATATTCCTTCAAAAACATTCTACCCTGGTCATTCACACTAATCTGCATAACTGGAAATAAACAAAGATGCTAGGTAATTCACAGAGTCTCACCTCCACATAGAAGTTCTAACTGCCCTAGAAACATATAGATCAAGTTGTCAACCTTTGAAAATGAGCAAAAATGTTCCAGAGCAGTCACTGTAGCCATGTATTTGGGCTTTATATTTATAGCATTGGATTTGTGACCTAAATGTGGCCATAGACATCACAGTAAGCTAAGTCCCATATCAAAAATAAAATGCAAGCCCTAGCAGGTTTGGCTCAGTGGATAGAGCACTGGCCTGTGGACTGATGGGTCCCAGGTTCAATTCTGGCCAAGGGTACATGCTTGGGTTGCGGGCTTGATCCCCAGTAGGGGGCATACAGGAGGCAGCCGATCAATGATTCTCTCTCATCATTGATGTTTCTCTCCCTCTCCCTTCCTCTCTGAAGTCAACACAAAAATCTATTTTTTTAAAATGCAAAAGTAATTGAGAGATTTTGTAATTTCAATAGCACAGACTTCAAAAAATTGGACACTGAGACATAACTCCTACATCGCTCTTTAAGTAAGAGGTCATTGCCATACTTACAGGTTTGAGGCAGTCATCTATATATTAGTGTGTGATGAATCAAAGAGTACACTTAGTACCATGAACTTGGGTCCTTATGCCATAGCATTAATTTTGCCTTTCCCCCAGAGAATCATTTGCTCTTGAAGTAATAGGCTCTTAAGGCACATTTTAACAACAAAACATCATAGCTTGGCCGGTGTGGCTCAGTGGTTGAATGCCAACCCATGAACCAAGAGGTCACCGGTTCAATTCCCAGTCAGGGCACATGCTGGCTCGATCCACAGTAAGGGGTATGCAGGAGGCAGCTGATCGATGATGTTTCTCTCTCATCGATGTTTCCATCTCTCTATCCTTTTCCCTTCCTCTCTCCCTAAAAATCAATAAAAAGCTATTTTTAAAAAACGCATCATATACCCAGCTCAAAACTGGAAGCTCCTCTTGGTTACAATAATGTACATATGTACCTAAGTAATGTGTGATTTATCAGATAGGCAAATGTCTCTATCTTGAGGATAAAGTCACATTAGAAAAGCAATTCTTTGTTGCTTACTCTAAAAAGAAACATTATAAAAACGAGAGAATTAGATTTATAAGAATAATCCACCTATTGTATACCAGGCCTGTTGGCAAAGGTCCAACAGGATGTAGGTCTGGCAATTAGAGAAAAAAACTTCCTTAGAACCCCAGGATACTATAAACCCAAGTTTCTGAGCAAAAATTATGAGGCAGTTGGCGCTCTTCCATGATTTTTAGAAGTTTTCTTCCAAAATGCACAGCCTCTTGGGAGGGCTCAAATCTTAAATCCCAAACAGCTACCATTTTAAACTGCAGCTGCCAGCCTCAAAGGAACAGGACTTGAGGAGAGAAAGGAGAGAGGACAGAAAGAAGTCACAGGTAGAAGTGGGATCATTTCAAGGACAAGTTGCTCTAGGAACTTGATACATTTTGCTAGGAGCAGCTTTGATATCCCTACGAGCCTCTGATAAAAGAAAAGAATATTATTTTCTAATACCCACAAGCATGCCTTAGGCACCAACCCTTGGGATAGACCTAGAATTATCTACCTGGAATGGTTTGGGGTCGGGGGTAGATTTAGGAACCTCTTAACTTGCTGTTAGTCTAAAGTAAATATAAGTGAGAGAATTTCACAAAAACAAATACATAGCTAACTGTAATGCCTGCTCTGGCCAGCGCCTTCCCACTGAACTTGAGGGCTTTTCAGCTGTGCAGAACATGCTGCTGGCAAACTGAGCTCTAGTTCAGCCGTTAAGATAGGAACAGGCAGAGTCTACAAGGTACACTGTCACAAATGAGAACATTACTCAAGGTGACCAATGTGCCCAACAGGATTCAATTCTATGGTAGAGATCTGAGACGTCCTCTGTGATCATGGAGCAATAAAAATAGCTGGCCCTAAATAAACATTTCAAATGCTTCATAATAACAGGCCCATTTCACAGGGGCCAAACATACAGAATTGTGTATCTATTTTTATATCTGCAGTTGTCAATCACCTACATTTGGGAAACCACGTGTCCTCTGATGTTACTCTAGCCTGGGTGGCAGGTACAAAAAGCCTCCAGAGTCCCTGCAATTCAATGACATTCGTATTTGTCTCCAGTGATCGGCACCATTTTGGAAATCTGGTCCCAAAGGTACTAAAGAACAGTAATACAGCAAAAAGAAACCACCTCTCTGTATAAAATGATTATAGAGATGTGTGTTGAGGTAAAGAGCTTTGTAAAAACTGTTGAGTAGGGAAGCACTGCCAAAGCTATAGAAATTTTTAGATAAGTTTGGTGCTAATATTATTCATCAAAACTCCTGTTTAAGTATATTAGTTACAAACAAGGGACAGTTCTTATTGCTCCTACAGCTTGCTGCCCCAATCTGTACCATCTCCACTGAAAAATGATTTTTTTCCCTCAACAACTGGTAGCAAAGATCCCCAAGTTTATAAAAGTCATTGCTAATGCATTACTTTTTAATTTCTGATTGCCATAGCTAAGAACTACAGTATGCATGTCCTTCACACCAAGTACAGAAAAAGCTTACAAAAGTTTTATCAAAGTTTAGTTCAATGAAAAAGTGCAAAATATATACAGTTCCTGGCAGTTCTCACACAGGATTTTTCTGACTACAGACCATAAAAGTGTACATTTATGTCATGAAATTACAGTGGATTTAACTTCACTATTAGTATACAAGTTTTTGCTTCAAAGTGCTTGCTTTATTTAAAAAAGAAAAGATCAAAAGGGTCACAGGATTTTTATTTTTACAACAAATTTATGTTATGTGTCCCAATCTCTTCGTCCCCTTCCTTTAGTGCAACACAGTGCAGCAGCCTCACTGAAAGGCCTGATTTCAAAAGATGTTCCTGAAACCTCACCTACAGCAGCACTCTAGGGGTCCCATTGGGGGTGGCTCCTTTTTTCTTCTGCAGTTGATTCTGAACCTTTCTCGATTTCACCACTTTCATTCTCACCTCAAAAACTTCATGGATGGCCTTCCGGAAGCAATGAAAATTATAGTCAATAAGCCCTGGAGAAGAAAGCCAAAAATCTTTAGCAATGTCACATAGAAAGAAATAATATCCATCTTTTCACGTCGACCATGACAAGGATCAACCAGTAGGGGGCAGTAAAGAAGCGGCCTTAACATAAGATCCAAAGGCTGAACGGGGAAGTCTGCAGCTGGTCCTCAGGAACCGAAGGCAAGATCTTGAGAATGTATATTTCTCACTAAGAAAAGTTTCCAGAGTATACACCACATTTTCAAAGGTGTCTATGACCCAACACATTTGAAGAGCCAAGTGAACACATTTTTTTGACCTTTCGGAATTAAAGATTTTTTACAATGAAGTTATTATCTTCAATGAAATACTTATTACTTTTCCCTAGAAGGCATTATTAAATTGACTCTATGTGGAGGGAGACCCTGACTTGGAGTGTGGCTGAGATAACAAAGCCACAGTATCAATCAAGTAATCAATCAATATTTACGCGATGTATATTATAAGTAATCAATCAATATTTACGGGCTGTATATTGTATTTAAACCATTGTCATAAGTCCTGGGGAAGGCCCAGTCCCTGGTTTTACTAGTAGAGTGACAGCAGTTAACTCAAGCTCAGGAATTCAACAACCAATGACACTCTCAGTTCTTCAATATCATGTAAATTTAAAATGGATAATACTTTCAACAATAAAGATTTTTTTAAATATATTTTATTGATTTTTCACAGAGAGGAAGGGAGAGAGATAGAGAGAGTTAGAAACATCGATGAGAGAGAAACATCGATCAGCTGCCTCCTGCACATCCACCACTGGGGATGTGCCCGCAACCCAGGTCCATGCCCTTGACCAGAATCGAACCCGGGACCTCTTAGTCCGCAGGCTGACGCTCTATCCACTGAGCCAAACTGGTTTCGGCAATAAAGATATTTTTTAATGGAGAAACAGTAGGGTAGAATCTTACTGTATTTTCAGAAATTAATTAGTCGTACAAAAATAGCATAAACGAGAATGCAAAGTCTTAAGTGTATTTTTCATCCTCACCACTAGTTTATTATGTTGTGGCTAATGTTTACACTAATTAAAATAGGCAGCTGGTCCTTATTTACTATCTTTAACTTATTAAAACAACAAGCCTAACCATTATTTCCATCCACTAAGGTGATGCTTCCAGAAACCCAAAGAAAGAATTGAGATTCCAGCCAAGGACTGAAACTCTTCAAACTAGTTATACAAGTGCGAGTGAACTGGAGGAACCCCCACCTCAGCTTCCAGGAGCAGGAAACCTTCGGAGCAGTGCCCTCTGCTGCTTCTGCAGTGATAGTGGCCACACATCCAGTTTAAGAACAATGACAAAACCAATGAGGCAATAAGGCAAAAGTAAGAAACAAAGCAGAATAAGGCAGAAATGAAAAACAAAGTGCCAAGAAGTGCTGTTGCTTAGTGGGAATTTGGAAATGAGATGTTAGAACAACCTTACAAACCTCTGCCTATCATATGTGCAACTAACTGCCTTAGGAAGAAAGCTCGGCTTGACTGCTTCAATGGGACGAGTGGATCAAATACTCCACGTGGGAAATTGCAGAGACATCCTATTGATAGTTTTTGACAAATCTTAACTTAGTCATCTTTGCACATTTTTACATGCGCAAAATTTTAAGAACAGTAATCTTGCGGCATGTGGAGTTTTAAAAGTAAAATGGTAAAAATTCACAACTGGGATTTTCAAAGGAAGTAAGCACTCAGAAAATAAGTTTGCTATTTATTTCAACCCTTTCATTGAAAATACAAGCAAGACATGAACAGAATAAGGATTACCTTCACCACCATACCCAGTTGTAGGATGGCCCCACACCTTTCTCTGGTTCAGTGGTTCTCACCCTAGTTGGGCATTAAAAACATCCAAGGAAGTTCAAAAATATTAACAAACCCCAGGCCTCCCTCCCAGGAATTCTATTCTAATTACATGGAAGAGGACCCAGATGTCCGTATTTTTTAACTGCCTCCCATCCCAAGGTGCCTATAATGTGCATCTAGGGCGGAGTGTCCTGCATCTGCTTTCAATTCTATCTCCTCTGCCAAAGCAGTCATGGGGACCACTAATGAAAACTCAGATGAAGACAAACATGGAGAAAAACTAATCACCAAGTGTTGATTATCAGCACCAACAGGACTCAGCAATACAAAATTAAAGCAACAAAATAAATCAAACTACTCCATGAATTTATAAGCCCAAGTTCTTTTTAAAGGCAGCTGCCTAATAGATAAGATGACCACCTCATCTGGTTTGCCCAGTTTTACTGGAGGTCTACTGTCCCATGAACCCCCATGGTCCCAGACAAATAGAGATGGTTGGTCACCGTAAAAAAAGCGTGCAGGTTTAACATGATGGGGTTCCACCTAGTCTGCCTATTTATTTACATTTATTAGTTGTGACCATTAACACCTAAGTTTCTATTTAGTTTAATAAGTTCTACAAAGTCTGCCTATCTACAGTGAAGGTTATAATTAGTGGGCAAGCGTGTGAGAAGAAACAGGAGTTGCATAGTTTGAAAGCATGTATTAATGACAAAGGGACAGGGAGGGAATTTCCAGTGGAAAAACTGGCAGAAACTACCTTAGCTAAGTCAACATCAGCGTCACCAGCAACAAGACACCATTAACCACTTGATGTGATGCACAGAGAAAGACACACATCATTTCTGTGTGGTGTTTTTAAAATATACTTTTATTGATTTCAGAAAGGAAGGGAGAGGGAGAGAGAGATAGAAACATCAATGATGGGAGAGAGAATCATCAACTGGCTGCCTCCTACATAACTCCCATTGGAGATCAAGAGCCTGACACCCAGGCATGTGCCCTGACTAGGAATGGAACCGTGACCCCCTGGTTCACAGGTCAGCATTCAAGCACTGAGCCACGCTGGCCAGGACTGTGTGGTGTTCTGACCAAAGTGCATTATCTCATTCCAACTGTGTGAAAAATCTCAGACAAACCCAGTCTGAGGGACAGTCTACAAAATGACTGATCAGTACTCTTCCAAAGTGTCAAGACCATGGAAGACAAATTGTCACAGATAGGAGGAGGAAACCAGGAGAAATAGCAACTAAATCAATTTTGGATCCTGAAACAGAAAACGGGTATTTTTGGAAAAACTGGTGAACTCTGCACAGGTCTGTAGTTTCATTGATAGCATTATACTGATGTCAATTCCCTAGTTTTGCAAACTGTGCTATAGTATGTAAGATGTTAACATTTGGGGAAGCTGGATGAGGAGTAGATGTAAACTACAGTTTTAAGAAGTTTTTGGAAGTCTAAAATTGGTTCAAAATTATTCCTTTTAGAAACTGCCACCATCCTAGATGGTTTGGGGGCTGTAGTTGTACTATTTGTATAACTTTTATTAGCTTCCAAAATCAACATGAAATATCAATCATCAGATATAAATTCTGGAACTATCTTTAACCAAGAAAATATATATATCATGGTTTTAAACAATATACAACACTGATTCCACATAGGGAGAACCCCAGGAATCTTTAGGCCTGACTGCCATACACTGGCGGTATGACCTTATATTGGGGGAAAATCACTTACGTCCTGAGTCTGGGTAAAATCATCTGTAATTGAGAATGAAACAAGGTATGGTCCTATCTTCAAAATTCCATGGATTTATTATATAATCTGTTCTTACTTTCAGCAAGATGAAAATAAAAAGTCAAAGATTAACACCATTTAATTAAAAATTTCACAGGACAAGGACACAAAAGGCAATTCGGTTGGCAATAGTAGGTAAATATGGGAAAAATACATGCATAACTTCAGTAAGAAGCAAGGAAATGTAAACTTAAATGATATACCAGTTTTCAATAATCAATTTTTAAAATAGTTTATTGATTTTTAGAGAGAGAGGAAGGGAGAAGAGAGAAATATCAATGTGAGAGCAGAACATGGATTGGCTGCCTTCTGTATGCCCCCCCTCCCAGAGATAGAGCTGCAACCTGGGTATGTGCCCTGACTGGGAATCGAACACCCAACCAACTGAGCCACACTGGCCTGGGCTCAATTATCATTTTTGTTGTTGCTGTTAATCCTCACCTGAGGATATTTTTCCATTGATTTTTAGAGAGAGAGTGGAAGAAAGGGGGAGAGAGAGAGAGAGAGAGAGAGAAACATCGATTGGTTGCCTCGTGCACGTGCCCCAACTAGGGCCAGGGACTGAGCCTGCAACCTGCAACTGAGGTACATGCCCTTAACCAGAATCAAACCCGGGACAACTCCAGTCCACAGGTCAATGCTCTATCCACTAAGCCAAAGTGGCTAGGGCTCAATTATAAATTTTTAATGCTAATACCCAATATTGAAACTACAGCAAAATTGACACGCTCATATTCTCTTAGTAGCGTAAACCCATAAAGTCTTTCTAAAGGACATTTTGGTAACGATGCATTAGAAGCCCCCAAAACATGCCTACCCTTTGATCTAAGTAATTCCATTCGTTGAAAGCTTTTCCTGAGGAAACAACCAAAGATGTACAAAAATATTTAGTGCAAAGAGGGTCATCATAGATTATTCATAACATCAAAATCTAAAATTGATGTGGAAAAAAGATTTAGTAAGTTGGAAAGATGTCTATAATAATTTAAGTGAAGGTTATAAAGTAGGATTTATCATACAATCTCATATATAAAGATAATAGATATATATGTGAAAAAGGCTGGAAAGTGATACAGAAAATATTGAGGATCTGAGTGAGAAGTTTATCAGTAATTATTTCTTTTATGCTTATTTGTTATTTATAAATTTTCTAAGCGAATCTATTGCTTTTATAATTTAAAAAAATCTAAATTACGTTTTCATGCTCAATGAATTTGTAAACAACAGGATCTAAAACTATATAGACAATCACCTGGCCCCACTTTTGTTGGAAGGAAAGAACAGATGAAGGAAGAGAGGAAGGAAAGAAGAAAGAAAGCACATTTCAGAAATTTAGCATGGGGTTTAGCTCTAAATGGTGAAATTGAGTGGTTTTATTTTGTTTTTGTTATACACTCCCAAATTTTCTAAATATTTTTAAAATAAACACGTATCGCTTTATAAGAAAAAAAGGCTTTTTTGGTCAATGTTACTATTGCCACTTTGTTGGGAATATTTTTACCCAACAAATTGGTAAATCGTTTCCTAGTTGCAAAAAACTCATAGCAGCAGCAGTAAGGTATTACCCAGGTTAGGTAGCAAGGGGGGAAAATGAGTATTTTTATGAGGTTAATTGCTTTCGTTTTAAAATAAAACTAAAAAGACATCTGGTGATATTATTAAGTGTTTTCATGTCTTCTGTTTTCGGGATCATGGTGCCATCCCTGTGTTTCGAGGACTAAAGAATACAGAGGCTTGCCGAAACCGGTTTGGCTCAGTGGATAGAGCGTCGGCCTGGGGACTGAAAGGTCCCAGGTTCGATTCCGGTCAAGGGCATGCGCCTGGGTTGCGCGCACATCTCCAGTAGGAGATGTGCAGGGGGCAGCTGATCGATGTTTCTCTCTCATTGATGTTTCTAACTCTCTATCTCTCTCCCTTTCTCTCTGTAAAAAATCAATAAAATATATTAAAAAAAAAAAAAGAATACAGAGGCTGAACACAAGTTAAATACCGTCTAGCTCTGATGTTGTATGAGTCCCCTCTTTCACAAGGGAGCACAAGTGGTCACATGTCCCTAAAACCTTCGAGAGGTGTGGCCCAAGAGGGAGGCCATGGCCCTCGCTGAGGCTGGGGGCCTCCCCTTGGTAAGGAACTCTACAGACTGGCAGCACCCCAGCTAGCTGCACCCACAGGAAAGCTGAGGCCCCTGGTGGATGGTTGCGTCCACTTCCACCTCACAGCAGCTTTCACTAGAGGGCAGGCTGGTTCACGGGTCCCCAAAGCTGACTGATCAAGGGGGCCTGGGACTTAAGTCTACAAACTCCAAGAGGCACGCTGCTCCCCATCCACATTCAACAGGCAGTGAAGACAGTATTAGTCTGAATCACACACACATAATTACCTTTTCTTTCAAAGCTTTCCTCTCTGACAAAGCAAACAAGAGCCAGGAACTTTGTCACCTCCTTTAAATAAAGAACTGTGGTATTATTCAGCTTTATAATGGCTGTTGATTCCTTGTCATAGGGGGTTCCTGCTCCGTCTTCTTTGAGACTAAATGGGGACAGAAACCAAAACATATATTTGACCATCGAGAAAGAACGATAAATTGTAACCCGACAACAGAAACCAGCTTTAACACAGAATGATTTACTTCTTTAAATGTATTAAAACTAGCCCACCCATTCAGACCTTTCAGCTAAAGATCTCAGAAACACACAAGCACAAGAATGTAGAGTGTATGACAGTCACTTCCCTACTGACACAAGGGGTGGCTGTTGTGGCAGCTGGGCAACCCCCCAGACACCTGAGAACACAGGTGAGGGGCGGCGGGCGTTATTTCTCCCCCACTCCGTGGCCCTCAAGATTTCTCATAATCAAATAACCAGACTGTCAAAGGCATGGTCTGAGGAAAGACCAAGGACTGAAGAACTGTTCCAAATGAAAGAAGCCTAAAGACACATGACAGCCAAATGCTGAATTAGAGGTTGAATTACAGGGGAAAACTGATATAAAAGGTAGAAGTGGAACCACTGGTAAAATTTGAATATGGACTGTATATTAGATAATCAAGTGAAGTAGCCATGCTAAATATGCTTACTTGGATCATTAAACTGTAAAGAATGTCCTTGTTCTTAAGAGAGAGATGCTAAAGTAATGAGGATCAAAGAACCATGATATCTGCAACTTACTCCCGAATAGTTCAAGACAAACAAACAAACAATATGGAATAGAAATAGAGGGAGATAGCAAATAGGGCAAATTGATAAAAATGGTGAATCCCAATGAAGGGTATATAGGAATTCATTGTACTATCCTTGCACATTTTCTGCAGGTTTGAAATCTTTTTAAAATAAAAAGTTAGTAAATAGATAAGTCTAATTTTTTTGTTTTCTTTTTATTTTTTCATTGGGGTGACATTTGTTAAAAAAAATTATATAGATTTCAGGTGTGGCATTCTATAATATATCATCTGTACATTGTATTGTGTGTTCACCACCCCAAGTCAAGTCACCTTCCATCACCATTTAGCACAGTGGTTCTCACCCTTGTGCAGCCAAGGCTGAGAACCACTGATTTAGCACCTTTATACCCTCTTCTACCTTCCCCCAACCTTCTTTCCCACAGGTAATCTGTTGCCTGTGTCTACGAGTGGTGTTTTCTGTTTTCTTTTATTTTGCTTAATCCCTACACCTTTTCACCCAGCCCTGCAACTGCCCTCCCCTCTGACAGCAACCAGTCTGTTCTCTATGTATGAGTCTGCTTCTGTTTTGTTAAGTTTATTTTGTTCATTAGATTCCACACTGAGTGAAGTCCTATGGTACTTGTCTTTCTCTGACTGGCTTATTTCACTTGGCCGCAGACACAGATGACTTGGGTTTGAATCCTAGCTTACTTACTTACTATGGGCAAGTTAAGTACCTTCTTTGAACTTCAATTTCCTCATCTGTATTCTAACAGTAATTACTTCAAAGTTTCCTAATGTAATGAGATAATACATACATAGCACTGAGCATAGTGCTGAGACCATGTAATATGCATAATGAATGTTAACCGCTATTATTATTATGACTTTATCGGGGAGAAATACATTTTCCTCTGTGCTCAAGGTTCTTCTGACTGGTCTAATAAATACACATGAGACAGATGAGCAAGAGGAAATAACCAAATTTAATATCTACATAGTATGGGAACCCTGCATAGACGAGAGAATCAGAGACCCCACATGCAGGAGAGGTTCAGAGATAGAAAGGGGAGATCTGGGAATATAGGACATCTGAGCTAAGAATGCGGTAACTGGGGGCTTCAAAGGGTCAGTACAGGATGATAAGAAGAAGAGATGTTTAATAAATAAAAGTGTGCCCTGCCATTTAGGTGGGTTAAGAAGGTTATCATTGCCCTAGCCCAGTGGTTAGCAAACTCATTAGTCAGCAGAGCCAAATATCAACAGTACAATGATTGAAATTTCTTTTGAGAGCCAAATTTTTTAAACTTAAACTATATAGGTAGGTACATTGTTATTAACTTAATTAGGGTACTGCTAAACTGGCCTTTGCTAAAAACGTCCTCAATCTGATTGAGGTACGTTCGCTGAGGTCGACCCCTTCCAACTCTCCCATCCACACTCGTCTTGTATACTTGTTTCATCTATCTCCTTTCTGAAAACCGACTTCTGTGCATGGGCCACGAAGTTTCAATCACACTGTACCACACATGGTATTTTGTGGAAGAGCTACACTCAAGGGGCCTAAGACCCGTATGTGGCTCGCGAGCCATGGTTTGCCGACAACTGTCTTAGCCGGTTCAGCTCAGTGGATAGAGCGTCCGCCTGCGGGCTGAAGGGTCCCAGGTTTTTCAGCCAAGGACACGTGCCTGGGTTGCAGGCTCGATCCCCAGTAGGGGGCATGTAGGAGGCAGCTGATCAATGATTCTCTCTCATCTGTGATGTTTCTATCTCTCTATCCCTCTCCCTTCCTCTCTGAAATCAATAAAAATATTTTTTTTTTTTTAAAAAAAAAGGTATTGCCAAATCCAGCTAGAACCATGGAGGGTGCCGAAGAGAAGAAGAAGGTTCCTGCTATGCCAGAAACCCTCAAGAAAAGCGAAGGAATTTCGCAGAGCTGAAGATCAAGTGCCTGAGAAAGAAGTTTGCCCAAAAGATCCTTTGAAAGGCAAGGAGGAAGCTCATGTATGAAAAAGCTAAACACTATCACAAGGAATACAGGCAGATGTACAGAACTGAGATTCAAATGGGTAGGATGGGAAGAAAAGCTGGCAACTTCTATGTACCTGCCAAATCCAAATTGGCATTTGTCATCAGGATCAGAGGTATCAACGGTGTGAGCCCGAAGGTCCGAAAGGTGCTTCGCCTTCTCCAGCTCTTCACTGGA